TACCATAGTATTTACATTTGAAACTTTTCATTTTGTTGGAAACTTTGAAAAAAGTACTAAATTCTTATAAATCCATTTTAGATGTTTGATAAGTATTATTTTTAATTATTAAATAATTTTTTGATTGATTAAAAATTAAAATAATATTAAAATAAGAAAACTCATTTTTTCTCTTTTTTACGTCTATGCTCGCCTAAACTCACTGAACTTATAGTTTGACCTTCACACATCATCACGCATTAGGCCTTTTAGAACATCGATATGAGTTGATTGTTGTTTGTCTTGTCAAGAGCATACTAAACTTACCTACTAATATGGCACAACAAGATTGCTAGCAGCTGATTTATAATCCAATTGTCATAAAGTTCACTGACGATGTTTCATATTCATTTATAATTACAAGTTACATATCCAAGAGTATATCATGCTTTTATCTTACATTCATTCTTGTTAGTCCCTATGTTGGGAGGTTCCCTAGTGGTCGGATAGGCAATTCATCACCCGTAGTATCAATTATATATAATTTAAAATAAAAAAAATGTTATGCGAGTTGCATACTTTGGTTACTTTTCTCTAATAATATTTATTATTTGTGTATTTTCATATTTATTGTTCACAAACAATATTTTTTTCCCGAAAAAATAAAAGTCCCATCCTCTTTGAATATTTCAGTGCCCATTTATTCAAAATGGAAAAGGATGAATATGATTGTATCCCTAACTAAGAAACAGCCATGCGGGCCCCACCCATTTTTCCCAAAATAATTTTATTTGGTGGGCTATGGGGCAAGCATGTGATGATGACGTGGAGGACCCATTGTAATATATATTACATGTGCCCATGTCCTGTATGCTGACGTGTGTTACTCATGATCCAATCTTGCCACGCAAACATGGTCAATCACAGGATTTAAAAATATGAGACATATATCAAAATATTTATTAGAAATTTTGAAAGAAAGAAAAATGAAAAGAGTCACACAAAATGGTCATGTTTGAGTAGCTTTATTCCCCACAAAATGAACTATTTGCTAATCCATCGATGTCCCGCGAGTCCAGGACATTATGTCCAACGTGTCACTATTATTATTATTATTATTTTTTTTTCAATTTGATCAATGAGTTCACTTGATCTAAATTAACATCCTTTTTGGTTCAAGGGTGGGGGTGAAAGTGTAATTCTACACATGAAGTCCTTGTATTTAAAAATAAAATAAAAAATCAAACCAGTGGTAAAGGATTAAGTAAATGAATATAAATCAACATTTGAGTTGGTTTATCGATGCGTATAGTCATGCGGAAGGCTAACTCTTGTTCCTGGTTGATATCATTATAATAAACCAGTCTCTCTTATTACTAAATCATTACAATTCACTGAAATGTGATTAAAAATAAAATTTGATCGACTCAAAATTTAAAAAGCAAAAATAATAACTTTGTCAACAAGAGGTTCACCGCACGATTTATTTAAAAATAGGGGACACATGTCAAATATTTATTGGACAATTTGTTGGCAGTCGTAGTGTGAAGGTTCGATTCCTGAGACATGAAATTGAATTTCTTGTAGGCGCAGTGTACAGACAACTCTTATTCCCTGGCATGTTGGGACACATCCCGCGATTTACATCCCTCACAAAGCTCTAGGGACGGGACGGGGCCGTGAAAGCCCTCCAAGTTGGGGTTCAAATTTTTTTTTTTTTTTTTTTTTTTTTTTTTTTGAGTTTGAAGTCTGGCCAATTCTCAAATTAACTTTTTAATTGAATTAATCAATCAGTCGAATTCTGATATGATATGAATGGTAAATCAACTCGCGCACAGCATGGACGGTGTAATAAGCGGACCCACTGGGCTATGAGAGTCAGCACAATTATTAATGCAATTCTGATTATTAAGAGATTTGTTCTTGACTTTGTTTTTACTTTTTAGTGCATGTTTGGAAAATATTATAATTTTTTATTAATGGTTGAAATTATAATGTGACACAAATGAATAGTAAATATGTAGGTATTAGCGTGGAGGATTGAGTTAGGAGAACATTATGGTTGACGTAGAGGATGACCAAACATACACACTGCGAGGGTTGGACGTTGTTTAATTGACGTGGAACCTGCGCACTTTGTAAGGGTCGATTATTTCGGATGTCAAACATTTTTGGGCAAAACGACATTTTCCTAGTGTGAATCCTATTAACAAAAAAGCCACAAGGCCAGGTTCAAAACCGGGCCAAAAAAATGGGCGCCATGTGAAGGGGGGCTGTTTGGCGCCCTTGAACCTGGCCAAAAAGCAGAATTGTCCTATTAAATGTGTAAATAAAATTAATATTTGACTTTGATCATTAACTTATAAGATGCAATTGATCCTACCTTGCGTACCTCCCAAAATCAAGTTTTTTGATTTCTCATAATTTTTACAATATTTTGGATATTTTATAAGATTATTTTTCATTGTAATGTTCACATCC